AACATAACGAGCATTCATATCTAGGATATCTATGTTCCGTGCTTCACAAAAAGAATTCACCTTGGTAAGCAAAGAATCCCATCCATCATCTCTTAATTTTTGGATGAGTGCTTTAGTGGAAGAAACAAGATTCATGGCATTTATGATGTCTTGGGATTGACATTGCAAAGCTTGACAAAGATCATTAGTGATCTCCATATGTTCTTTCATAAGATGTAAGATAAAGACAAATTCATATGAAGTCATTGCCTCATAAGCTGCATAAAAAAGAAAAGCAGCTAAGTTTCCCTTGCAAGTGTCACACCCAAAAGAAAACAGAACACAAATAATGAAGGATGCATACGATATTTCCACACAAGGGCCCATCCATTCCAATTCTGTGTGTACGGTACCCCTATAAAACTCAGAAGTTAACAAAACGTATCTACCTATTTCTGAAGCCTCCAATTCGTGACTAGAAAAGAGTCTGAGGATTCTAAAGTGAACATCGACCAACAAAACAGGAACTCCAGGTTAGGAATATATTTGGGCCTAGCCTTGGATTTTTTTGGACCTCAACAAATATTATGTATGTTTATTTTTCCACCTTACTTATAAGATGTTTTGTGGTTTGTTCAACCTATGATGTACATATATTATCCCATGGTATAGATATATTGTCCTATTGTCCATTGCATAGGTATAATATGTGGGTCTTATTTTCATTGATTAAATGGTATATATATTATCAAGGAAAGAACCTTAAAGGGTAAAATCGACACAACAAAAGAAGTAAATAAAGTCAAAGGACCTACATCTAAAACTAAAAATGTGTGGACAAAATCCAATAACAGCTAATCATTTTGGATCTAGATTTAAGAACCCCGATTTCAGGATATTTAGGTGAACAAACACAACACATCTATGGTCTCAATTTGTTGCCCTTTGGCTCCCACTTGCTTAATCAGTGATCTTTTTAGGAGTAAAATATAAAATTGACTATTGTTTCAGTCAAATGAATGAAACTATAAGGAATCAGTACTTGATCGCTAATTTTAATAATTAATTTTTAATAAATAGAAAAAGAGTCCATATAATAAAATAACATAATCTCACCAAATTACAAAAGATTTTGAATATTGTATAAATTAAAAACACACTACACATAACCTCAGTTCACTGCTTCTTCGTCTTCTTCGCTGCTGGACGCCGAGTCGGTTTCTTCACTGGACTCAACTTGTTTTTCTTTAAAAAAAACAAAAAACAAAAA